GCCCCGGCCCGGTGCGCGCCGACTTGCAACCGGGCTGGGAACTGCCACGTCAAACCCTCCGCCGCGCGCTCCCGGCCAGGGCATGGACCAGTCGCCGCGCGCCCGTCTGCGCAGGCGCACGGACTAGGAGGGGGCGTGGCGAGGGGCGGAGAGGCGTGGCGACGCCTGCCTGGGGGCGTGGCCAGAGGCGCGTGAGGGCGTGAGGGTTGTGGTGGGCGTGGTCGTGTCTCCCGGGGCGCTGGCCCGCCACACCAACCCCGCTGTTTTGCTTTTTTCGCCTTTTTCCGGTTCTTTTTTTTTTTTTCACATTTAATTTGATCCTTTTCCCCTCTCGCTGAGGTCCTTTGTTCTGTCTCCACCTCTAGCCAGGTGTCAGGCGCTCGGAGGGACGCAGAGGAGCGCGCGCAGAGCCCATTCATTCTTCCCTTCATTCAACAGGTCGCGGGTTCGGCCCTTTAAGCGCAGTGTCGGAATCCCGGGGCGTCTGCGGTGCGGCTCCGGCCACGCCCGCGGGAAACACACCGTCTGGACGTGGCGGAGAGTGGAGCCTGACGGCGGGTCTGGCCGGTGGCCTCCGGCGGTGTCTGCGCAGGGCAGGGACCCCCCTGGTGACCTGCAGAACGGGGGGGGGGACCTCCCCACCGAGCGTCGGGAAGGGGACGCCCCAGACCGTCTCCTTGTCTGTGAAATCCAACGCCTGATTCCACCCCCAAATAGATCTCTCTCTTAAGTGTCCAGAGGGAAGTCTGCGAACTAAGGGCCACCTGTGTGAGAATTCCGCCTATCTTGCTCTAAAATCCGGACCTTCAACCCACTCCACGTTTGGAAGAGAAAGATAGCCTAACACTTGGCCCAAGTTTACAGAATAAAGCCAGATTAGTAATTCTGTATTCATCAAGTACCTTCTTTTGGACTACCAGAAAAAAAAAAAAGCTCCTGAACAAATGCTTTTTTCCTGGTGAACTGTGGAGATAAGGTGGTTGCTGAGGAACTTTTCTGAGATGTTCAGGGTTTGTTGTTTGGTTTGGTTTTTGTCTTCCTGGGGCTCGAACTCAGGGCCTGAGCGCTATCTGAGCTCTTTTAGGTTAAGGCTGGCGCTGTACCCACTTTAAACCATACAGCCATTTCCAGTTCTTTGGCATTTAATTAGAAATAGAGTCTCATGGACTTTCCCAGGGCTGGCTTTGAACCTCCATCCTCAGATCTCAGCCTTCTGCATAGCTAGGTTTACAGGCGTGAGCCACCAGTGCCTGGCTTGTTCAGAGATTAAGTCGCTTGTGTTAGATTTGTTTTTGTTTTGTGACAGCTACCTGAGAGAAACAACTTAAAAGAAGAATATTTTATTTTGGTTCACAACTTGCTTAATCACTATGGGCTTTTGACACAGGAGAACATTATGTGTCAAAAGGACAGGGCTCATTTCCTGACAGGCAAGAAGAAAAGAGACAAAGAAGGGCATTCTCCTCCTCCCCCAGTAGCCTACTTTTTCCAGATAAGAAGTTTCCATAATCTCCAAGTAATTCCATCAAAGTATGAATCCAAAGCTGGCACCAGTGCCTCACGCCTATAATCTTTGCTGCTCAGAAGGCTGAGATCTGAGGATCATATTTTGAAGCCACAGTCTGTAAAACTTAATCTCCAATTAACTGGGAAATGGCTGGAAGTAAGTGGGAAAAGTCAAGCAAGAATAGGAAGCCCCAAGTTCAAGTCCCAGTGCCTAAATAAATAAGTAAATCCACCAATGGATAATGTCAGACTTTTTGTCCCCCCCTCCTCCCCCTTCTTCTCTTTCTTTTTCTGTCTCTGACACTGTCTCTTTCTGTTTTTCTCTCTCTCCCTCTCTCTGTCTCTGTCTCTCTGTCTTTGTCTCTGTCTTTCTCTCTCTCCCTTGCTCTCTCCTGAAGATTCAAGCTTCTAATCACTTATTCACCTCTCAGTGATTGCTAAGGATCAACACCTGGGTCAGAATGTGGGGACACCCATGTCTGAAGTGTTACATCATTTGCATGGGTACAATTTATGGTCTTTTTCCTAACTCTTAGCAGGCTTTATGGTAGGATGTGCTTTCTAAACCATAGACAGGGTGTGGCTTCCACATTTGGCCAGGGTTAAAAATCCACACTGAGGATTTTGCTTTAAATTGGTTCTTACAATCTACATACCTATAGGATGAAAATGTTTTGTGGTGGTTTCAGAAATTCTGACCTACAGCACAGTTTACAAGAGGAAGGAGAAAAGTTTCTATGTCAATAGCTCAAAGACGGAGACTACTATGACACAAATGTAGAGAGAAAAGACAGCTAGAAACAGTCACAATGGTGTGATCCCAGCTGGTTGGCAAGTTACCTCTATAACATTCCTAAACTTGATTTGTAAATGCATCCTCCTTGCTTGGGGACCATACGTGCCTGAGATCAGGAAAAACCATTTGTGCTTTTGGTTCTCAAAATAACTTTGAATTTCTAAACATTAAATCTATAAGGGTCTGTGGAGGAGATGGGGAAAAACCAGTTGTTTAAGGATACAGGTGGACCTGTTGCAACAATGAGAAGTACAAGTTGTCATGTCCAAAACGAGCTTTACAAC